CCTGACCCCGCCCCTAAACATAACGGTCATGTGGGTTTAAACAAAACGTACGAATTCGTATGAGTGAGGTACGAATTAGCCACTTTTGAATCACTCGTCCGAATTCGTACGAATTGGTCGTGAGATAGCGTAGTTTATACCCAGACAAACAATTACAAAGTTCAGTCTAAATAGGGCCATGAATTACATAAATAAATAATCCAGGACAAAAAAAAAAACATGTCAAATGTCAGTTTGCAGTCAATTTACCCAATTTAAAACCCTTGACTCTACTTCTCCAATTTCTATCCTTAATTGAATATGCATAATAACTTAGGAATTAAAACAAAAGGATACATGGGGGATACAGTTTGCAGTCAATACCCACTTCATGAGACAAACATGAGTTTTTAAAGTCCATTTTCAAATGACAGTTGCACCCTTTATTACATTAACATTAAATTACTGCATTAACTATTGTCACGATTTAAGAAAGGCTGGATTATCTACAGTGTTTCCCAACCCTGTTCTTTGAGGCACACCAACACAATACATTTCCAAACTCTTCTTATTCAAACACACCTGAATCAACTCACCAGACCTACAATGGACGGGTCAGATAAGGGAAACATCCTTAATGTCTACTGTTATTTTGCCTCCTGGGCCCTGGCACAGGGTTGGGAAACAATGGCCTAGATAGAACAATGCCTACTTCGATATTTGGCTGTTGTTTAACATTAACTAATAACCCAGAAGGCCTAAGTGATGTTGGCTAAAAATGAAAGTATTTTCAGAGTCAGAGCCAGTTCTTACATTTTGATAAAAGATAAAGACAATTTTGTGATTTTTCACAATCAATCACATTAGGACTAATCAATGGTCAATTTTGTCTTCATATTGTCGAAATACTACATAAAAGTAATTAAACAGCATTAATCCATAGATATGTGTAGATTTAAATAGAAATGATAGGTTTATGCTACAAAAACTCTTCATAAAAGATGCTTGCAACCTGAAGACTCAAAATGACAGCATTTAAAATGGATTAGACCACAATTACAAACAAACAAAATAGTTTGAGAATAAGGGTTGGACGGTATAAATCTCTATAATGCAGGGCTCAATCCTGTTCCTGGAGATCTACCTCCCTGATGCTCCAATCCTGATCAAACACAACTGAACCAGCTAATTAAGATCTTCAGGAAAACTTGATAATTACAGACAGGTGTGTTGGAGCAGGATTAAAACTGAAGTGGGAGGAAGCTCTTCATAGACAGGATTGGGCACCCCAGTATAATGCTAGTGCAGGTATTAAGCCGCGTTTCCACCGCAGGATCTTTCTCCAGGAACTGGGGACTTTGGGGTGGTAAAAATGTCCCCCCCCCAGAAAGTCCCTACAGGCGAGGTAGACATTGTTCAAAGTTTAGGAACTTTCGGGGTGGGACGTGGGCGCTGAATACGCAGATTCACCCAGCATTTTGATTGGTTGACTCCACACAGAATTTTAAAAATTAAGTCGTGGAGCGTGCAGTAAGACTTGTTTGCTATTCGAATCAACAATAGAAATACGCTATTTGAATCAACATTTAAAAGATACGACTGACCAACGACAAGGTTCAGGATTTATTAAGCTTATACGCCGAGGACGAAATCCAGCGGTAATTGGAAAGTCATGCACAGTCCTACGTCACAGAAGTAGTTTGCCTAATCTTCACGGTAGTTTAGACCACGATGGAAATGTAGGCTGCAACAGGTCTGGGGGGAAAGTTGTTCTGGGTAATATCGGTGGAAACAGCGCAGTCTCATCCCAAGACGTCATCTTGGGATGAGACTGTGTTAGTGGAAACGTGGCTTTGGACAGTATAGAGTTTCTATAATAGTTTAGGACAGGGGTAGGCAAGTTCGGTCCTAGAGAGCCGCTATCCTGCAGAGTTTGACTCCAACACTGAAAAAAAGTCTCCTTAGTAATCCTGAAGACATTGATTAGCTTGTTCAGGTGTGTTTGATTGGGGTTGGAACTAAATTCTGCAGGACAGCGGCTCTCTAGGACCGAACTTGCCTACCCCTGGTTTAGGATATGGGATTGATATTGTATTATTAGTGCACATGCTTGGCTGATCGAGGAATCGGGCTTTTAATGATGCGTCTCCAGTTCCACCACAGTCCAGTCGCCTTGCGGGGAACTGGCTTGGCTGCTGGGGGAGTAACTACTGACTGAAGCCACTGTCGCAGCGGAGCAGTCAAAGTGGGACATGATGTGTGGCCACAGGCTGCTCTCCAGAGGGCTGAGGATACCCCCTCCCTGCCCAGGCAGGTACAAGAGTGGAGGACAGCCGTCCTCCCCGGCCAGAAGCAGAGTCTGGTTAATCAGCTGCTGGACCATGTCCATTTTTGTGTTCCAGTCCAGCTCTTGTGGCGGCGGTCGGCGAAGGTTTCCGTTGGCCACTCTCAGAGGTAGGTCCGTCGGGATTGAGTGGCCTGTCTGGTTGGGGGACCCTTGGTTTTCACCAGATGTGTTCTCCGCATCTTCTTCCTCCTCGCTGGTCTCCATGGCCTCGTAGATGGTGCAGAGTCCAGATGAGGGCGACAGGAGACACGGCGGTTGACCTCTCCCCTGCGACTGCTGTTTGACTCTCTGTTGCTGCTCCATCTCAAGCTGGCGTTGCAGGAGCTGTCGGCGTAGCCGGTGTTCCTGCTGCTGCTGTTGCAGTTGCAACTGAAGCAGCTCTCGGCGTTGCCTTTCCAGTGCCCTTTGCTGAGCCTGCCTCTGCCTTTCCTCCTCAAGACACAGGCGTTGCAGCCGTTCCTGCTCCTGACGCCGTCGAATGTGTCTCAACTGCAACTGGTGCTGCTCTAACCGTCGCAGCTGCATGTTCGGCACCAATGCAGTCAGTGGGAACCTCGGAGGAGTATCAACAGGCGGGACATCGATACGAGGCTGTTGCTGCCTCTGTTGCTCCGGCAGTGGAGCAAGGTAGTTATTGTCATTCATTTCTTGGATTAGTCTTGGATGGTTATTATTCTCCTGTTGGTTAAGTGAAACTTCACCAGTCTGTATGTTGTTCCAGGGTTTCCCTGTGGACAGTCAAGAGTACTTGCAATATGCGTTCACTGACAGAAGCATTTGTAATGAAGAAGGGTGAGACTGAACAAGAAACAGAGGAAACGCACAGACAGAAAGAGGAACAGGCAGACAAGAAAATAAAACACACGAACAAAACAACAAATTAGACGAAACTTATAAAGTCTGGAATCGAGTTTTCCCGCACATCCTTCCTGTAAACACCTTAGAATATTTTTTAATACTAGCAAACCATCACAAAAGAAATATTCTGTGTTCAAGACATTCAATACGGTGGCATTCTGTTGGTTACCAAAGAGAATCATTTATAATGGTCCATGCGCCAAGTGCTCTCAAGCCAGAGATGCTGTGGGTTAAGCTTGTATTTAACTTTTAATATTTCTTTCAGGTAATATTCAGTCAGCAATGTTAGATTGTGCCACTCAAAAATGTCACCAGCATAGTTAATTCTGACTGAAAATATTTTAACTGTGTAAAGAAATCTTGAATGTTAAGCCCAAAGTATACTCAGGTTTTTTACACACACTTGCAGGTCGCAGATGTGCAATATTTATATTGTTCAACCAGGTGTCAACACTGGCCCAGGTCGTTGTTTCACAGTTGAAAACGAAACTAAAAAGACAGAACAACCACATAAATATACCGGAGACTGCAACAACAACATGCCTGCATTGACAAGCACTTGTGTAAGGGGGTTATGAGATAGCCACAGCTTTAGTTTAAAAGAATACAGAGACATGTTTATTGGTCATAACTTCTGGAGAAAAATAGCGCAGACACTCGATAAGGATGAAACTTTCTAGACTAGAGCAGAAGAGCACGTGTCGACCGCCTGTGCACCGGCATGCTATCAAATGGAGTATACTCAAATGGAGTATGAAAGGTTTTGTTTTCGACTATAAGAATACGCTACCATATATTCAACTAAATATATTTTGGGCTTCATTCTGGAAATTTAGGTATGTAATCAAATAAATGAGGTATCATATCTAAACAAATTCAAGGATTGGAGTGGATTGCAGAGGGTCTGATTGTTTGGAACAGTAAACGGATTAAAAATAAAAAAAAATAAAATTTTTCACTACGTATGTACCTGAAATACATTTATAGACTACCTGAATAGGACTTAAAAATGTAAATATCATATATAAATATAATAAATAAAAATGTAATAATATCATGATATAATATATTCATAAAAATAACAATAACACAAATATATACATCTATCTAAATCTAAAATAATATAAATGAAATAAAGATAAAATTCCATTAATGAAGGCAGTTTTTAAGGGTAAATGATACATGCATTCATCCACATGATGTGGTAATAACCTAAACTTGCTAATTTTTAAACCTTAAATTAAAATATTGGTTTTGTGAGAATTTGGAGAGAACAACAAAATCCCTCTTTTAATGTTTGTCACCTGGCACACATAATTTCACATAACAGAACAGACAGAGAGCTAAATGGATGATAAATTGTACTTTGTTAAATTCTCCAGATATTTTTGATGTAAAATGACACTTTTTGATGATGGGTGATTTAAAAAAAAGAGAGAGAAAGGAAGTGCAGATGGAGAGAGATACTGAGAGATGGAAAAGGAAAAGAAAGAAAGTTCCCTGACACAGGACCAAATTAACATTCAGGCAGGTTTTGAAAGTTTTTGTTTATGTATTAAGAGATTCCATGCAACTTTTTTGTATTTGGCTTTCAGGGAGGGGGGTCCTGTTCTGGTGTTGAGTTTAGGAGGACTGACATGCAATTGAAGTGGGGGATTATAGACTATGAACACAGACAGTCATTTAATCAAAACACATCTGGAATAAACACCATTTCAGCAGATATCCATTTCCTGTTCAAAATAAAATTCCACAGGAAGCACTCTAATGAGAATAGACCATCATGCCACTCAAAAAAACAAAACAAACAGGAACAGACAGCCTTGCAATGATGTTTAATGGAATATTGTGAATCATTAATGTCCAAACATCCCCGGATGATGTCTGGAATCATATCAAGATTATAACAATTTCTTAATTAGTTGCACATATGCAGTTCCAATTCTTGTTGAAATGTCCCAATACTCACAGTAGACTGACCTGCGAGCATCATTTTAAGTTTTACAAATGCAAGAAAACACTTGAATTTCCATGAACAGAAATAGTAGTCCGTTCTGAAGTACACAAGTCCAACAACTGTAAATGAAAGAATCCAGATCAATCTGAGCCCAGTACTTTAAAGCACTCAAGTTACATGCCAATGGGAATCTATGTTATCCTTCAATGCGCAGCAGTAGCCCAAAAACTAACAAAACACAACCAAAAATTGGAGTATGACTTGCCATCTAACACTCATTCACCCCCTATGTCAAACACTTTGAGAGTGAAAAGCTTCTGAAGATTATCTAACCTGTATTTAATGCTAAAACAGTTAGTGCTGGACACTGGAATAAGTTTTAAAAGACAGTAAAGCTACTTTTACAGTGCAGGAAAACTGATGTGTGTAGAAACATTAAGGTAAGACAGGGATCTTAACAACAAATCAAATAAAAACAAGAAGAAACAAAAACAAAAGTATAAAAAATTGACAATTGATTGGTAAAAACAGTAGGATAAATACAAAGGTAGTTGGAGTCCACCAAGTGTTTATTTTTTTTGCATTTTTGTCCTTTCATCAAAGGACGTTATCTTAACTTAGTCTAACATTGCAGGTTCAGGGGTGCCATGAAGCGCAGTGTTATTTAAAAAGTACATTCTAATAGAAAATGAGAATAGCTACTGTACATACACAAATTGAAGCCATACAATCATAACCATCACCGTGGTAATAAAAAACAGAGCAGCTCAGACAAAGCTATAATCCCTCACCTGGCAGCTCCCCTTTCACTTTCCCCTTTCTATTACTTAATTCTATTCATTTCTCCACTCGCTAACCCCACATTTGGAAGAAATGAAGGACACAGGGTGGGAGCTTGGGGTCTGGGGTAGACAAGGTGCATTCCGAAGGAGGGACTTTATACGTTACCTGCCAGAAAGTTATCAGTCTTATCACATATAGCAGAGTAGTAAGGTGGCTGGCCATCTGTATCGTCCCCATGTTGGGGTGAGAGGTGCATGGGGGACTCGGGATCCATTTCCTCCATAGAGCCCGGGTCTGTCTTACTACACAGCATGTAGTGCTCGTCAAACCCAGCATCTCTCTCTTTGGGCTCACTTATAGGCAGCAAGTCCACTGGGCAGCCCAACAAGTCATCACTGTAGGCGCTAGCTGCTGGTAGGGTGAGCTCCTTGATGAAAGAGGGATCCTTGGCCTCTTCTGGAAGCTGCTCTTCATTTTCCAAGCTAAAGATACCTGGGCTCTTTCCACAGCTCTCAGCCATTGAGTGGGCGTTGGAGATGGATGCGGAGCAGTCAAAACCATAGGAGGCCACAGAGTTGGCTGACTGAGGTGTATCGCCATCTTCCTCTCCAATCTGTTCAGGAGCCTCCTCGTCCTCTTCCAGGGCTGCGAGGTTGTGGGGGACTGCGGTGTTGTCATCAACCGTGACATCAGGGTCATTGATCTGCATCTCACCCTCTGTATCACTGGCCTCATCACCGGAGGTTGAGGGTGATGATGGAACGGAGGCTGGGGCTGTTGCCGCATCACCCAGTACCTCATCGGCTGGCAGAGTTTCTGCCTCTTCCTCTTCCCCATCACAACGCTCAAGGTGAATACCAAGGTCCTGCTCCATGTCTGTCTGCATGGCAGGGACTGGTGTTTGCTGCTTGTCTGATCGGGACTCTACACCTGAGCTGCTGTCGTAATCCCGAAGCTCTTCAGGTGTGCTGGTCTCACTGCTACTGTGAGCAGCCAAGGCTGTCCCACTGAGAGTGCTGGACTGGGACATTCCAATGGCAGGAGCAGCCAAGATACCCGACTCTGCTGGGACAGAGCTCCCAGTATCCTCTTGTATATGAGATTGAGGTTCTGATGCCTGAATTAGGGGTGGACTCTTGTCCAGAAAAGCCTCAACTGGGGATTTGGGTGGTGTATATGGATCAGCTGAGAATTTGGGGGTTGTGTCTGGGTCGACTTGGAATTTGCTAAGTGTTTCTGGCTCTTGAAATCTTGAATATGACAGGCTTGATTCAGACAGGATGGAGGCAGGCTGGGCCAAGGAATCTGAGAATGGATTTGAGTGACTCCATGCTGTTGTCAAAGGCATAGATGGTGCTGCAGCAGTGTGACCCATGCTCTTAAAATCTAGATGACGCTCATCATCATCATCATCTTCATTACTATCATTTGCACAAACTCCAAGTCCACTTTCAGCTATGTGCCGGTGGACCATTTCCACATCTTTGTCCTCCTTCTCTAACTCTTTCTGTTTCTTGTAATACTCATCATCATGCTCTAAGCCTAAATCCATGTCTTCCTTCATATGCTCATCTTCCTCATCATCTTCTTCATCTTCACTACCGAAAGATTGAATTCCAGGAGGCCCTGTGAATGGCTGTTCCCTGTCTGTCTCGCTCATGATGAAGTCACCTGTCTCTTTAGCGCTGCAGCTGTCTTCAGCATTGAAGGGAGATGTCACTTCTGAGTCATGTTTGTTACTGCTGTACATGTCATCTGATTGCATCATACCCCAATCACAGCTGGCAAAGTCTGCCACCCCCTTTTTAAAGTAGTCTTCTTTCTCCGTTTCCTTTATGCCAATCTCTCTCACCTCATCCTCCTCTTCCTCCTCATCATCTTCCTCATCTTCCTCCCCCTCTTTCTCTTTTTCCTCTTCCTCGTTGTCTTCATTAATCTCTTCTTCAGCTTTTTCCACTGCCTCTTCTCTTTCTTGCCAGGGGCAGACAGGAGCCTCACTTTTGATGTGATCCACACCAGTAGAGCCCAGCAGACCAAAGTCTCCCATTACATTCTTTGCTGCAGAGGGCATCTGTATATCATTCTGCTCTTTTTCATCATCATCATCATCCTCACTTTCTTCATCCTGCTCCTGCTTCTCTATGGTCGCAGTGCTGGTGTACAGTGAAGAGCTCTGTGCCCACGGTTCAGCTGGACCCTGCAAGCCCAGTAGGGGAGCTGAGCTTGGAGGCTCGGCAGGCATGAATGTCGGGCCGGTGGGAGAGGATGGTGGTGACAGTATTGTGGTGCCCAGGGGAGACACAGCAGGCACTGGTTCCTCCAGGCTAACCATATCCATTTCAGCAGCCAGTTGAGACATGACATTGTCATCTTTATAAGTGTCCATGCTCAGGGAGACGTCCTGGGGATAGACAACCTCTACCTCATCAGAGGTAGGAGAAATAACAGGTACAACTGTGTCTTCGGGTTCCTCATCAAAGGCTTGAGGAATCACAGGTGAAACAGGTGTCTCATAAGAGGTTGGGGCAATGACAGATGTAGTTCTGTCTTCAGGTGTTTCTTCGGAGGAAGGAGGAATGACAGGTGAAACAAATTCTTCAGGTGCCTCATAAGAGGTAGGGGGAATGAAAGATGTAGTTATATCTTCAGGTGTTTCTTCAAAAGTAGAAGGAATGACAGGTGAAACTGTTTCTTCAGGTGCCTCATAAGAGGTAGGGGGAATGACAGGTGAAACTGTTTCTTTCGGTGCCTCATAAGAGGTAGGGGGAATGAAAGATGTAGTTATATCTTCAGGTGTTTCTTCAGAAGCAGGAGGAATGACAGGTGAAACTGTTTCTTCAGGTGCCTCATAAGAGGTAGCGGGAATGACAGGTGATACAGTTTCTTCTCGTGCCTCATCAGAGGTAGGGGTAATGACAGATGTAGTTCTATCTTCAGGTGTTTGTTCAGAAGTAGGAGTAATGGCAGGTAAAACTGTTTCTTCAGGTGCCTCATAAGAGGTAGCGGGAATGACAGGTGATACAGTTTCTTCTCGTGCCTCATCAGAGGTTGGGGGAATGACAGATGTAGTTCTATCTTCAGGTGTTTGTTCAGAAGTAGGAGGAATGGCAGGTAAAACTGTTTCTTCGGGTCCCTCATAAGAGGCAGGGGTAATGACAGGTGAAACAGTTTCTTCTCGTGCCTGATCAGAGGTTGGGGGAATGACAGATGTAGTTATGTCTTCAGAGACAGGACAAATGACAGGTGTAACTTTGTCTTCAGGTACTTCCGTAGGGGCAAAGACAGATGTAGCCATTTCTTTAAAATCATCTTTAGAGTCCTCAAAGGAAGCAGGAATGAGATTTGTAAATGAGTCTTCTAATTTCACCTCAGAGGCAGCAGGATTGACTTGGGTAAACAAGTCTTCAGGTGTCTCTTCAGTGGCAGCAGGAACAAAAGCTGTAGCTGATTCTTCGGGGGCTTCCTCAGCGGCCACCGCAGAAACGACAGCAGCGGCTGCAACAGAAGCTGCAGCCGTGGCTGCAACCACAGCATGGACCACATCCTTCTTCTCAACCTCTGTGGTTGCTATGTCTGCCGGCTGGGAGGCTTTAGGGCCACCCTTCAATGGCATTGGAGTGTTACTGCCAACTGACTTCTTTGGGCTGCTTGTTTTAGCACTGGGCTTGCTGCCTGTGGTCTTGGAGCTTGCACTGACCTCCTTGGAAGGTGTTGCTTTGCTCTCCTTGGGCTTACTAGTCTTAACATCTGCCGCCTTGCTGGGGGTGGTGGGCTTTTTGGAGGCTGATTCTGCCTTGGCAGTGGAGGCAGACTTAGGTGTGTCAGGTTTGGTAGTCTTGGCTGGTGCTGGCCGGGTGAGTGGAGAGGATGTGGGCTTCTTGGTCGCTGGAGTGGATGGCTGCTTACTGACATCTAATGAAAACAGAATATAAAATTTCAAACTTAAGTATCACAGCTTTAAATAGAATTTAAATAGTGTAAATACGTATTTTATTAAATATTTACTTCTTAACCAGAGCATGTGAGTGAGCTCTAGAAATCTTAAATTTCCTCCAGAACGGAGAACGGCTTTCTGAATAATCCGCATTCTCATTTACGAAATTTCGTTCCCATTAATTTAAGAATGCATCCTCTCATTTAGGCTAAAATTAAATTTGTTGTCTGGTTTTAGTAAATTATGGCCACATTGTTGAAGTAATTTATTCTCTCGTTTTATTAAAGGAAGGGAACTAATTATTACAACGTGGCCATCCACGATTTACTAAACCAGGCTAATGAATTATTATGTAGTACATTGTGTGTTTGCTTTAATTAAAATAAGGAAACAAATTATTAAAACATGGTGGCGTTGGGTGGGAGCAAAGAATTGTTAATTCGTTATGCAATCATCATATCAGTGCAACTAAAAATAACCTATATAGCCATATCCAACACACAAATATTAATCATGGGCATGATAATACAGATGCGTTTTGTGGAGTTCTTTATGCATTTCATCTTGTTTTTATGTCCCTAAATGTTCATGGAATATTTAATATACTTTTTCAGTTATTGCATGTTATAGGCAAGTTTGCTAAAAGCCAATGTCATGTTTTTTAATTTGTAAAGTTAATTTAATGTATTTAAATTAATTAAAGTACAGACTGTCACAGAATGTCATTTCATAATGGATATTTATAATTCTAATACATTATTTAAAAAAATCCAATACAAATAGAAATCAATTAGCCTACAACCTGTGAGCGTGAGCGTTTTGTGAGTGGAGTGTTTGCTTGGGCTGTGAGCATCTGAGTGGAGCGCATATTAAGCTTCGCTCGTTCGGCTCACATGCTCTGATCTGAACTACATCCATGCGTTTATTGTTTTCCACAAGGTGCCTACCTTTCTTGACAGGTGTTGTGGTCTTAGGAGTGGGAGTGCGACCAGCAGGGGGTGCTGTGGTTTTAGCAGGAGAAGGTTTAGCAGGAGTAGATGGTGTCTTGGGTGTCGCAGTAGTTGGTCTGGATGTAGAGGTCTTGCCGGCAGTTGTTGGGGTCGCAGGCTTGGGGGCAGCAGGTGAAGAACGAGCAGCAGGAGCAGAGCCAACTGACCTGTATATAGCAGATGTGACAGAAGAAAATTAAAAAATCATTACAGAGGAAGACCATGTCGAATCTTAATAACAGCTGTGGCGAGTCATTAAGCCATTTTTTGTTGCTACTAGCTAGCAGTTGAGCAAGGACAAAGACCCCTGCAGTTAAACAGCAGAATGAAAGATCACACAGAGAAGTTATAATATTAGTGTGTATGAGAAAAATCCCATCTTCCTCTTCTTATGACATTTTAGTCGTGTATCTAGGGCAGTGACTCATTGGACAGAGGTTTGTTAGTCACAGCACAGAAGGCTAGGACAGGTAGCTCAGGAACACAACCTGGAGCAAAAACATTCTCTAACAAGACAACCCCTCCCCCAGTTATCTACCCACAATGCCTCTCTTCTATCCTGCGGTGCCTGACTCAGTGGTAGTACACGTGTTTGGGATCTAATATCGGTCCACTCTGGTCTAGTATGAGTTAAACTCGGGCACACGCCAGTGACTCAATACTTGTCCAGGTCAAGTCTGAGTAAACTATCCAACATCCTGTGGGTCTGGCAGGAGCGTCTGATTTCCTCTGTCTACGCTCCACTGCATGTGTTTCTCCTGTTCTAAATAAAGAGCTGGAGAGCACGAGGATGGGTGATATGACCATGTAAATCTTTCATTGTGATAACTAAAAATAAGCATGGAAATCCCACTCGGGAAAAGAGTATGCATCCCACTAAAATACATGCATTTCACATTTCATATAGGATATGCACTTGCAGGGATGAGATGCTATAAAATTCTGGTGTCCTACATATGGAGTATCAGGTGAGAGAGTGAGCGGGTGAGCAAAAGAGAGAGAGATCCAGCAGGGAAAGTTCTGGAACAAAGAGGGCAAGTCTATAAACAGATAAACCTGACAGAGAAAACCACACATGAATTAATACAGTGCTGTGTTGTAGCTCCTTGACCTAGATTCACTTCACAAAAACGCCTACTTAAGCTCACCACTTGGATTAGTACATTAGTCTGTGAGCCAACTTGATAATTAAGAGTTCATAAAGAATGTTTTTCAGATTTAACAGTAAAGAATGGCCAATATATTTAATAATATATATAATATACTGTATGTTATTTAGTTGTCAATATAAAATAGAAGCCATATGGTTCATGGCTCCTTAATGCTTTTTCTCTTACACTGAGTCATCTCTTCCTTGATTTTACCAGCATCAAAACGTCATACTTAGTAGACCATAGTAAAGACACACAGCAAGTGGGAATCAAAGAGTCATCATATAACATGTAGAAAATAATGATTTAACAGAACATTGGGAAAAATTGTGACTAGTATAGGGAAGAATGCACTATGAGATGAGAAAGACTGCGGATGAGAGCTATAGAAAAAGAGAGCGTCTATAAAAGTCTTCCTCTTAATCTCAAACATTAAACCGATATGTATAATCTATAGTGACAGGATGACTCGGTTTAGGAAGAGAGCTCGCAGAGATTAGGAGTAGCATCATTATCTTGGAACACAAAAGACAGAGTGAATGAGTTCAAGAGAGTGTGGGACAGAGAAAGAGAAACAAACAATGAAAGAATACAGTGACCAGGAGCCTTCAAGCTCCAAAAAAAGGACAAAAACAATAGTTCATATGACTTGCTGCGTGACTGGATTTAACAGGGGAAACTGCGAAAATGCGACTAAAACGAACAATTTTCGCAATTTAAACTAAATGTTGGACTCAATATATTGTTCCTTACAACTTACTAAAGATCCAGTGATCCATGGATATTGACATGCAGGCGGGAATCGTGTTTCCTGACATTTATGTTTGCCCGATTTCGACAACGGGGAAATAAAAGATATATACCTAAACATAAAGCAAATTTGCCTGTGAACACTTTATATAAATACAATATAGGTCTAAATCCGGGTGATCACTTATATCAGTGTTATATATAGCCTATATATATATATCGTCATATCGTCCAGCACTACAACTTTATAGGGTTTTTTTGGTCAGTGTTTATTAAAAAACATCCAATAATGCAGAATATGCAATGATAAATATTTAATTGATGAGTTGTTAATATATATAACAATACAAAATATATGGGTATGGTTTTACACCTAAATTCAGCATATTGACACAAAATGATAACTGCAAATCTAGCTTTTGCTGACTGGAGTCCAGTTGTTTCTGTGAATTGCAGCGATTTCTATAGCAGCCTGTAAAAATATACCTCAGATTTTTTGTTAAATCTAGTTGTAGTCAATCGCAAAGCTCTTTCCCACTTTATATGTGTTGCGTTTGTTTTTCGCGGCATTCACGCTAACAACAAATACAGCCGCACAGTCTTTTTGCCACTCACTGTGAGGAACTGCAGGCACTCTGACGTCACGTGCATTCCCTCTATTATTTGGGTCTATTATGGCACATTTATAGCACACGTGTGGTACTTTATTGTCCTTTGGGGAACTTAACAGCCCTGGTCAAATAACATAAAAAGGGTTAACTTTCCACTGTCAAGATGGGCTTTTAATAAAACTTGGCTGTCTATGCAGCAGAAATATGAAGAAATGTTAAAATCAGTGCTACGTGACTAGACAAAACTGAGAAACGGGGCTGTGGCATTCTCTTTTACCAAAAAACTTCAACACCCACAATGCACTTTGATTTTGCACTACAATGCACTGCAAAATGTAGAAAGTCATACGGGTTCGGAGGAACATTAGGGTGAGTAAATAATATCATTGAATATGATCTTTGAGTAAACTATTTCCTCGATAGAAAGAGACAAACTAGGCCATGTTATCCTCACTCGAGTAATTTGCTGTCAGATCTGTGTCATGGTTGGGGGCAAATACAATGCACATTAAAACGCAAAAATGCACAGAAGTTAAAAAACAATCCAAGCACATTGACACAAATGCATTTGCGTGAATTGCTTCGAGCTAATGGCGCGCCATTCATGCATTTTATAGATAGCACTTTAATGATTTGTGAGCGACGGAGAAGCCTGGAGTCTTATTGGTTTATAAGCTCTGTTTAACTTGCTGTTATATTTGCGAGTGTCAAAACTTCCCCTGAAGCCACAGCGGCAATGAGGAAGACGACCTCCTCCTGAGCCAGAGACTGGCAGACTATGGCTGATGAGATTTTAATAAGGCGCTCCGGCCTGAAGGGACTCTTTAACCTCAATAAAGAGGTTCACGTCCCTTCAGGGCGAATCCCGTGCATTAGTGAAGCTGTGATTCAGCAGCGTTTGATGAAGTTGCGTCTACCTGCTGGCACTCACCTGCGTGTCAGTTTGCTGTGTTAGCTTGATAAAGGCCAATAGTCGTTCATCTGAATAAAATGTGATTTACGTATTTTACCCCAACTGCAAAACTGGTCTGAGTCATAGATCGTAATGTGCACATCTGTAGTGATTTCTTGGCTTGCAGCAGCAAATATGCATTAAAGGGATAGATCACCCAAAAATGAAAATTAGGTCATTAATTACTCACCCCCATGCTGTTCCAACCCCGTAAGACCTTCGTTCATCTTCGGAACACAAATTAAGATATTTTTGATTAAATTTGTGAGCTGGATCACTCCTCCAGGCTCCTAAGGGATTGAAACTTGACGGCCCAGAAAGTCATTAAAGAAAATGTTTAAATATTCCATGTGACAACAGTGGCTCAACTATAAGTTTATCAAGCGACGAGAATACTTTTTGTGCGGAAATAAAACAAAAATAACGACTTTATTCGACTATTCCTTTTCTTCCTTGTAGGCCTGAGACGAGAGTTCAAGAGATTTCCTTGACGCATGCGCGAGAACTGCGATCTCCTTCTACTACTTCTAGTCCAGTGCTCTCGTCTCAGGCCAACAAGGAAGAAAAGGAATAGTTGAATAAAGTCATTATATTTGTTTGTTTTATCGCACAAAAAGTATTCTCGTCGCTTGATAAACTTATAGTTAAGCCACTGTTGTCACATGGAATATTTAAACATTTTCTTCATTGACTTTCTGGGCCGTCAAGTTTCAATCCCTTAGGCAGCCTATGTAGCAGTGATCCAGCTCACAAATTTAATCAAAAATATCTTCATTTGTGTTCCGAAGATGAACGAAGGTCTTACGAGGTTGGTACAGCATGGGGGTGAGTAATTAATTACTTAATTTTCATTTTTGGGTGAACTATCCCTTTAAATCAAAGATGCCTGTGAACACAAACTCCTCCACTCAAGGCCAATTTATACTTCTGCGTAGGGTGCGCGCAGTAGGTCCGGCATAGCATACGCACAGATGCGTACCATACCGCGTACCCTTCGCCGTAGCCTGTCGCGCACCTCCTCAAAAATGTAACGTTGCGACGACGTGGACCGCAAAATCTGTGATTGGTCGGCTTGCTAGCATCGCATTTCCTCCTACGTATTTCCGCACATAACCATCTCACGCATTTCCGCACGTACCATCTCTTCCGATGTCTTAGTTAATTTTAGTGAAATTACTAAAACTAAAGGTTTTTCCACCTCAATAAGCTTCAACTCCAAAATGATCCGCTCTCTTTCAATCGCCATTGCTTGTAGTATCCTAGCCGCGAGGAATCTAAACACAGTGGAACATTAAAACCCTCCGCCGCCAACTAGCGTTTCGGAGCGGTACTGCAGAGCAACCAAGACCTGAACGCAGAAGTACAAAATCTCACGACGGCGTCGCCTACGTGCGTAGCCTACGCCGTACCTTCGCCGCAGAAGTATAAATTGGACTTAACTAGCACACACAGCCATTTTGTTTTGTGTCTTTCAGACTGTGCCTTATTGAAAAGACCATGTGACTTTCCTCTGTGGAAAACAAATGGTGGCTATTTGAAGAATATCCTATAATAGAATATTTTATAATGCTTCCATTCAGTTTCATTAAACACCATTCAGTGTCCCTTGAAATAAAGCCATACAGATTTGAAATGACATGAAATTAGGTAAACGAATATTTCATGTTGGTGGGAATGATATAGGCATTTAAACTTCGAGGAAAGGAAACTATTTACACATAATCTGCTCAGGCCACTCAGTCTCACAGTTAGACTGAGTAGTGAAGACAAATGTGCATGTCCAGAAAACAGCCCTGTTAAACTGCAGGAGCGGGACACCAGTGAGTGAACAGCACGGCCTAGAAAGATGCCGAAATCAGACAAGCGAAGAACACGTAAGCGCTGCAGCAAACTCAGAATCACTGGAGTGTTGTAAAGCATCCATCAAGTTGGCTGCTGGGCACTCAGAGACACGCACGCTCCATTTGGAGATTAGGTGCAGTGGCTGCAATAAAACATCCCTCTGGAGAACTAAACTCCAATGAACGAGAGCCAGGCGGACGAAGAATGAGAGAAATTAATTTTACGAGAAATGGTTTAGCAACAGACGCACCCTTTACCGACTAGCCCATAGCTCTTACATCAGTATGACATCATCATCAGGAAAGAGCTCATCCATTACGGTTGAGTTACGACATAAATCAAAAATGATTCATATTCCTGGCCAGTTCTTTCATGTCTGCACTATACTTGTGCAACTAGCATGACGTTCAACACTGTTTGAACACGACCCCTTAAAACTGCTATTTCTTCATGTCTTCTTAATACTTGCTCCCTTTATCTCAGCCTGAAAAGTGTAGAATATTGTAGCACTATTTAGTTCAGCAGTTCAACTGCAACACTGAAGAATGGTTAGAGAACAGGTTTTTTTGCAGCCGCTAGTAGAAACTGCAATCCTACATATTTTATGTAGCAATGTAAAAGTTCTAGGTTGCAAGCATACACCATTACGGCCAAGTCATATTTTATTTATTTAATATCCAATAGGTACAGTAGATGCAGAATTCCCTCTACAACCTCTACTGCTGAAGGGGTATATCCACACAAACACTCTTCACACACACAAATGCCAACATGGCATCATGACTTTGCGTAAACATACACGCCACTTTCAAGTCAAGTAGTGTGTTATCTATACGCATTTTGAGCTATCTGCGTCTATGTCCACTCCGAAACGAACCGTCATCTTTTGCGTGTATGTCTACGCCGTTAAAGTCGGCGTGAAACGGAAGTTGAGATTGTCATTTTTTCCTTGTTGTGACGTATATCCGAGTGAAACGGCTTCTGAAATTAGAAAAAATGTAGGGTCCTTTGGGTATTGATTGGACCATTGGAGGATGGCTGTTGCAAACAATTTGAATGCGATTCTCTGAGAGGCGGTGTACCGATAACCGCACCCTCGTCGGTAGGGTTGGGTATCGAGAATCGAGTATTGATTGGAACCGAGACTAACTTTTTGTTTTTCCCGGAATCGTTCAAAAGTTAAAATTTCGATTCCTAGTTTCGATATTCACAGTCCGCCGAGCGGAAGAAGAAACAGCTGAACAACACCAGCGAAGAAACGTCTACCGGAAGTGTTGGCATAACCACGCGAGTCGAACATGAGTACCTTACGTTGGCGATCCAAAGTGTGGCTTCACTTTTCTAAAAATAACGAAATCTCGGCAAAATGCAAAATTTAAATAGAGTATTTTTACAGAAGGAGTATTTCCTTCAGAAAGGATTATTTCTTTCAGAAAGGCCGTTGGTTAGCAAGGTTAGCTAAACTTTTTTGATCCTGCCTCTTAAAAGAATCGGAATCGAGAATCGTTAGGAACCGGAATCGAAACAAGGAATCGGAATCAGAATCGTTCAAATTCAAACGATACCCAACCCTACTCGTCGGATCTGGCGCTCCCTTTCGCCATTATACGTGACCCAAATAGAAGAGAGGTCGTTTCGATGGGGGAGGTAAGGGTAATGTATTTGATTAAAGATTATGATGGTACATGAATTTAAAAAAAATAATGAAGTGCAGAGATAAATCATTTATAATTAACACTACAGTATTACATATTAATTTAAGATTTTGTCGAATTTGATTTCATGCCGACTTTAAATGTCCGAGTGATTCCGCGTGCATGTACACGCCGTTTAATGTCCGAGCGAAACGAACTACATCTCGGGAGCGATATTTTTTTCCTAGGATGGTAGGGGAAGACTCATAAATGGTATTAACCCCACTGACGGGTAGGTTTAGGGACGGGGTTGGGGTAGGGCATATATTTAAATATACAGTAATGTAACGTTAAGTCAACGGCGTTCATAAACACGCTGAAAAGCGATTATGCGTGTTGATAGCACGCCAAAAATGGAAATATAAATTGGCGTGTCATACATGCGCCATTTCATGAGATCAGTCTGCAAATGCAAAGAAAAATTGTGCTGCGCCCAAAATTGAGTCATATATTACTGGACTGTGTAAAATGTTAAATTAATATAAAGGCACTGCCCTCAAAAAAAAAAAAAAAAAGTTTTGCTATGCTGCTCAACTGCACAAATTTCATCTTCCTTGGTCTGAGGTAGAATTAAATACCTGTTAGATCGAAGATGCCCACAGGGTCAAAATAACAAAACACAAACTCCTGTACTAATTGGACAACAGAGGCCTTTTTGCAGCCATTTAGTGTTTGAGCTTACGGTCATTATGAGGCAGAGACAGAAAACAAAGGCTCAAGGTGGATTTCCCAGATTATCTTTCCTAAACCCAGTGCTGGAATATACAGTGCTAATGGTGTCATTTACACGGTCTTTTCTTTTCAAGCAGCACGTGATGTAATCTGCGTATGAGACGGCAGCTTTCTTTCTCTAAACACCATCAGCTGTATGATGAGTCATGGCAGAGCTCTGTTTTTGACTTTTCGTAGCATGAATATCAATAAAATCTTTGATTAAATTAATCATACAAATTGTAGGCAACTCAATTCAATTCTTCAATTCTTTGTTTTTTTTAATGATTCAAGGCTGCTAACTAAAACAGCAATAAATTATAGAGCTGCTTGGAACAAGAACCTAAACCCCTCCAGAAGAGAACTTTGACAGACCCACTTTTGTCTTTTTTCTTTACTTTAAAAGAACTGGTGGAAAATACTACCAACTTCTTCAAAGGAAAAGAAGGCAATCAATGTCTGTCAAAATTTAAGGAGATCTGCAAATATCACATTACAAGAGTTCACATGTTACAAAATGTACACCACCCACGCATAACATCATGAGTCTGAGCTCCTTTACAGGCCTCAGGATGTCCCTCATTGCCACTATAAACAAGTAACAAAAAACTCCTTCACTGTTCATGGCTGTCTGCAGGCATCTCAGAACGGCTCCAGTGAGCTCAATGTTATGATTCCCAGCGTGACTAAGATTGTATCCCTGCATGATAATAACCATCCTAACATCTCTCTGCATTTGTCCTGGATATAGGGAGATCTGCATTATATCAGCATCTCGTTGTGTGAAACGAGATCTCTAATCGTGGAGACTTTCTGGGGAGAGTCTAAACTTTCTGTCAATCGTGAGAGAGTTCCCCCTCGCAGATTTTTTTATTTTTTTTTGTAATCAGGAATTTGAGGACTATGCCAGTAAATTTCCAAGCCAATACAATTCTTTCCTGTTCAGGCTTAGATTTGATGCCTAATACTTTAAGTATTCAGTGAATGAAGAGCAGTGATTGTGAGAGATGTGGGCTGCAACGTGAGGCTGAATGAGCAATGCCTGAAGGACTTTGGAAGAGAATGAGCTAATGCAATGGCCCACATTGCAGAATTCTAATCTACAAAACATGGACTGGGAGCTCAACCAATGAGACGCCTACCTGGTTGTCTTGGCGACGGGTGGCCTATCAGGTTTGGGAGAGCCAGTGGTGCCGGTCTTGGTGGTGGATGCAGTGGCGGGCCTTGAAGCTGGAGCTAGAGTGAAGGATGTTTAAGAGCATTGAACAACAAGACAAATACGGACCAGAATAACCACGTACATACATACATAATCGCTTTCATGAAAAAAATATCTCCAACCACACTTGTAAAATATCTCCAACACAGTGCTGGAAATCTGCTCCGACTCCAGAGCTATGTTCGAATTCACACCCTTATACCCTGATTTTCTATTCCCTACATTACTCCACTAAAATAGTCTACTTGAAGGAGTGAATGAAAATGACGGAGTGCGCCGCTTTTGAAAAGTTTGTGTTGCTGTTTAATAATCATTTGAAACTTAGAAAGCTGGCAGCTCTAGTGGTGAGACGAAAATATTTATCTTGAAGTCTGTGATGGAAACAAGCATGTATAAACCTTAATTAAACAATTTAATAGTCAATCATATTATGCCTGAATTTATCTGGTATCCCAGCAAACAAATTTTGGTTTGTTAAATTCTTAAGGTTAAAGGAACGTTCCCGGAACATTATCCTTACGTTATAAAAATGGAACCTAAAAATAACCTACATGGAACGTTCCTATAACGTTCTTGTTTGGTTCCCAAAAAAATAACCTCATGGGACCATTCGGGAACATTAGGGGAACGTTTTGTGTTTGCTGGGATTAAGCTGTACCCACATTGGACCAACAGTTTGGAAAATGGATGGATGTGTGATTCAAGACGTAGGAATTTATTTGGCACAACCCTCACAGTGCATTATGGGTATTATCTAGATGTTGAATGTAAATCTGTAGTGCACTCGTTATTGTGGTGCATTATGTGATTAAAAGGGCACACTTGATAATGTCGACAATGGTTTCGGACCCTATTTAAGAGTAAAGGGGGTGATTTTGGACACAGCCCAGCTCTCCAGGAGAAGCGTTGGAGACACCTGGCCTTCATTGAACTTCAAGAATCAAGAAGCTCAGATGATTCTTCTGACTTACCTGTAGTTTTTGGTTTAGCCTTCAGGCCATTCGCTGGTGCAGCAGGGGCTTTCTTGATGGGCTGCGCTGTCCCTGTTGTCTTCACGCCATTGGCTGGAGTACTGGCAGGTCTCGCCGTCCCCATTGGCTTCTTCTCAGCCACCTTGGTAGGGGTCTTGGTTGTGGGTGCAGTAGTAGAGCCAACTGGTTTTTTGGAAGCAGAAGTGGTAGAGGTTTTCTTCTCCAGGCCTCCTGTTGGGGTCTTTTTGGTGACACCATTAGCTTGCGACTTCTGTGCCCCGTTTGTTAGGCGGCTTTGAGCAGTGGTGGGACGGGAGCTGGTCGTGGATGCCTTGATACCAGCAGTGGGTGCCTTTGCTTTGGCAGGAGCCTTCGTCTTAGCTTGGGGGTCTGCAGGCTTGTCCTTTCCAGTCGTATTGGTTGCGGAAAGTGCCTCTGTTGGCTGTGGTTCACCTTCTGTTTGCATTGTGGGCAAAGCCTGGTCCTGGGCTTCACCCACTGGCGCCACCTCGATTGCAGGACCTGCATTTAATGCTTCCATTGGCTCCATTGTTGCTGTGTCAACACCATCTGGTTTCATCTTGTCCTAGTCCTGGAGGTCCGTCTCAGCAGGAGAGAAATCAGGAACCCAGGACTCAGTGCACTAGTTGGAGTCTACTGCTATCAGTCGGCCTAAGATTGACCTGAAAACAAAAGCAACAAAAGAGTTATAGTCGGATTTGAGACTTCAGACAATAAAAAACAAGTCTGAATAAGTCTTGATCTGTACCCCCTCTCACTGGCGAACGGACCTAAGAGAACAATCAGATAAAGAGTCAGGTTTGGTTAGCATGCAAATGCTTGAAGAAACGCTTCAGAAAGAGATTAGGAATGAGGTAAATAGCCTTCTGTGCCGAGGGAAAACAACAGCTGATTCAGAGCTTGTGGATCTGTTTAAACTGTAACCAAACAAGATGATGTTTCCAGCTATTAGGAGTGATGGTTGGCATTAGATTACAGCTGTCATTAATATAGTTTTACATTTGGCAAGACATCCATCATAAGATTATTTTGGTGCAATTTCTTGTGTAAAAAATATCTGGGTTTTCGAAACCCTTTGGGGGGATTTCTAATTGCTAACTACAAGCAAAGCAGCAATGCCAGATGCATTACCCACAATGCCTCACTGACGCAGATGTTGTTTGCATGATTTAAGAGCAGCAGCTCCACAGCAAAGTTCATCCAGTGGAAGAGGCCAACGAGAGGAAGTGGCTTGGCTCAAATGAGCATGGGAAAAAAAATGACTGAGTAAGAGTAACACTGAAAACGCACACTCATAAGGCGGACATCAGTGTCACCGGACACCTCGCCCTCATTATATTCCAGAATCTTCCAGTTTTTTTTCTGAGGTCGACATTCATTTCTCCACCCCTCAGACTCATTCTGCCCATTACAAAATCTCCTCAGTTAGTCCTCACACAGATGGTCCAGGCAGCTGAGCATCCCAAATGAGAGAAACTTGGGGGATGGGGACAGAGACAGTAATGGAAAAGAGAAAGAAAGCCCCGGGGAAAGAATCCAATTCATTTATGCTGCCAGATATGAGAAAATAGACATGAAAGATATATTATGTCTCAGACAGAGATCTATCTATGGCCATCGGTTACTGATGGGAATTGTGCACTTGATGACATTAACAATTACCAAATTGACATAAACAACTGCTCACATGGCAAATTAACAATAGAGACAATTTTTCAGACCTGCAGATTGTTCGTAAAGGAGAACTCCGGCATAAAATGAACCTTTGGTCTAATAACACATTGGTACCTAGTCAACCGTTCTTTGAGATTTGTTTTCATGATAATCGAATGTAAAGAGTTTTATCTCTAAAAATGTTTAGATTATAATGCTAAGATACCACTAACAAGGCTCAAAATAGCCCCACACTAACACAGTAACATAATGAGGATCCCTACATGCAAAAAGCATTGAGAATGTTGTAAGTGTACATGTAGGGACCCTCATTATATTACCGTGTTAGTGTGTGGCTATTTTGAGCCTTGTTAGTGGTATTAACCAGCGATTTCTTTTTACTTATTATATGCCCCCATATGCTAGCATTATACGCTAAACAGTTTTTAGAGATAAAACTCTTTACATTCGATTATCATTAGGGATGCACCGATACCACTTTTTTGGAAAACGAGTACGAGTACGAGTACTTGCATTTCAGTACTCGCCGATACCGATACCGAGTACTTAATAATAAAAAAAAAAAACATGATTTAAATATTTTTATATACGGGTTTTTAGGTCCTTGATTAAATTACTTGGGTAACACTTTATTTCGATAGTCCACTTTACTAACTATAAGTAACTTTTCAATTACATGTCAACTAACTGTCATTAGAGTATTAGTAGACTAGAGTATTAGTACGATCAGCTTAATATCTGATAACACTTTATTTATTTGGTCCCCCAACAGACATTCAACTGACTATAAGTAACTTGGCGACTACAAGTAAACTTATTCTCCTAATCCAAAGCCATTCACTTTGAAATTGTTCCACACCAGTGATACACGGGTTGATCCAAAATGAGCGGGTGCCTGCGCCGCGGTCACCCGCGGTTACCCGCAGTTACGGGTCATCCAAAAATATTTTTAATGATATTGGGGTCGCGGTCGGTCAGGTCGTTTGGAAAAAGATGCTAATTAAACCTTTGTATTTATATAGTACTAGATACAATTTTCTATGAAATATATAGGCCACATTTATTTATTTGCTGAATAACTGGCACGAAGATGACACACAAGCTCAGTCTAAACAGTTCTCAGTTCTGTACTGGTGTGATCCGAGAACCGCTGTACCTCTGCATTCGTTACTACGCGGATGCGCAGTATCAGCTGCTCGTGCTCATCACTTCTCTCAGCTGTGGCAACATCATGTCTCAGTTCAGTGAACTGTTAGAGTTACTGGAGTAAAATATAATTCGGGATATTGGTTTATTTCAACTCGGAGGGACTGTCAGGCATGTCTGAAAGTGAGTAACTGTAGTAACTTGTGGATCAGCACTGACGCAAGACGTGAACTGATGCGAATGATTCAGTTCGATTTAGCGTACTGGTTCGACCGGTTCATTAAAAAGAACCGATTCGTTCACGAACCGGCCATGTCTATGATCACTACAGTCTGCAGAGAGATGGAGGCGACAAGAGAAAAGGTGAAGACTGAGGAGTGGAAGCTCCGCAAATACACAAATAGAAAGAGTAAGTGTGGGAGACATTTACCGAAATAATGAAAGATGATGACCAAAGTGCTGGCTTTGTTATATGTAGGCTACGTCTTCTTGCGATGCTGTGTTGTTACACGTTTATGGCCCAATGACGCTACGATGAGCATGTACTACTTTTAAAAAATACGGTCAGGAAGAGGGTCGGGTACAATATTTTCTTACTTTTTTGCGGTCCGAGTACGTTGGTAGTGTGCGGGTTGTTTATACATTGACCCGCGCATCACTGTTCCACACGGCTGACATGTCTCCCCATCTCCCCGCTCTGAGCTGCAGCCGGATCCTGGGGGTGGGCACTCGGCGCCTGTGATTAACCCATTTCTCAGAACATGGTATCGGTCCCCGGTATCGGGGGACTTTTAACGAGTACGAGTACTTTAGAAAATGTGGTATCGAGGCCGATACCAGATACCGGTATCGGTATCGGTGCATCCCTAATTATCATGAAAACAAATCTCAGAGAACGGTCGACTAGGTACCGATGTGTAATTAGACCAAAGGTTCATTTTGCGCCGGAGTTCTCCTTTAAATTGTTATAATGACACATTCTTCTTGGTTTAATTCGGTTTTCAACTGCAACATGTTCAGAATCAGACAGTACACTGTTTTTGGTCCAATTTTACCAATTTTGGTAGTCATTTTATTGGTCCGTTGGGTTGGTGTGCTTTCTCATCAAAAGTGAACCACTACACAATCACAATCAGGCTGGGACAACCTTGTTCAGGCAAACACGGACTGATTATTTTGGTACGGGTCCAAATGCAATTGCCATGTAATTAGATGCCCAAATAAACCCAACTACGCAATCACAAAAAGTAACTATATGGGCGGATTAAATAATGCTTTAGTTTGTAATGAAGAACATCAAAGATTTTAGCTTTACAAACAAACTCAACCACATGCAACATTGCTTCCACCTCAAGAGCTTAAGGGCTGTTTTCCCTGATGAAAAACACCTCCTCTAGATCACATCTCTCTATTTTAATATTGCTTATAAATACAGGCTTTGTTGCATCCGCTCTACCCCTTCTGACTGTGTTTCTCTTGCTATTGATCCAGTAAGGAATGATAGATGAGAATCAGATGTGAGAACATCAGGTGGTGGAGAGCGGAAAACTTCTGAGAGGAAAACACACTCACCATCACACGGCCTTACGACCTTAATGATCCTGCTGGGGGATATAGACCGCTTCCTCTACATGTAAACAATAGTGACCCGGAGTGTCAGAAGCCTATCCTGTCCATCCAATTCTGGGGGGAGGATCTGACCTCTTCTGACTTCTCATGACCTACAAAGTGGCTGATTTTGACAGGTAAGTATTAAAAAATTAGATTGATAAAAAGTACAAGTTTAATCTCTTATCTGAATAAAAACCATCCCTCAATAAGTCATTTTTATTGAAGAACATACAGTTCTTGAAACTACTGAAATCCCCAAATTAATCGTGATTAATGTGTCCAGATTGTGTTAATACATTTAAAAACAAGGAGCTTTGTCATAATTACTGCAGAAATGCCCAATGAGTCTATAGGTGTATTAAATAAATAGGGGGCCTACATGGTGGAGGCCTTCGAATACTGTGTTGGAAAATTGGGTGCCTTTGAGTAAAAATAATCATAATGATAAACACAATGTCATTTAATATTAAACCCAGCTCTAGGGAGCACGAGATGGAGAGAAAAACCACCAGAAAAGGTAAATATGGTGGCTTTGTGACCTTACAAATATAAGACCCATCGTACCTACAAACCGTCTTACGCACAAACCCTCTTACCGACACTCCATCACTCTCAGGGACGAACTTGCACACGCCTCATGCTTAATGCCTCATCCAATTATCGTAACCAATCCCGGTGCAGGATCCTAATGCTCCTAAAAGGATGACTCCACTCTTAACAGCAGCCGAGAGGGCGAGAAGCACTCATCCCCTATAGACCCACATATGATGTAAACAAACACTGCGTACACAGATGCGTCGCATACCTTCTAGAAGCAGTGTTTTTGGCAGGTCTCCAGCGACGGCGCATCAGTCTTTTAATTGCCCCGCCGCTGAACCGCAGATCACTCTTATGCAAATCAGGTCATCGCCGCATTATAACGGCAAAATGCACTTTGGCCTCTTTATCCGTGAGCAATGCACAACACAGCTATGTGCATGCATGCATGCATAAATGCATTTCTATGTACTGAATTGTGCCTTAAAAAGCCCCCTGTGTGCAAAGCTCGCTTCTCACAATCAGCTAACCACTGCGGCACAGCAGGTGCTAACAGGCTAATGCCATCTTAGCTTTAGCCACTCCGGGCCAAAGCCTCATGTCTAAAAACTGAAGATCAAGAATACTGCAAAAAAAATCTGAATAGCTCGCAATAGGAAATGTTTTTACCCCCCTTGAATCGCAATCAATGGAG